ATGTTATAGCATGTATTAGCACTCCTTTTTATGGCCAAATAATATTCCAGTGTGTGTGTATACACACACACACACACACACACACACACACACACACATATATATATGTATACACACACACAGTGCCACATTTTGTCTATCCATTCATCTAATGATTAACATTTGAATTGTTTTCATTTTGGCTAATATAATAATCTTACTATGAACATTTGGATTACTTTCTTTCTTTCTTTTTTTCTTTGGGGGAGCTTATTACTGGGGATTGAATCCAGGGGCACTCAACCACTGAGCCACACCCCCAGCCCTTTTTCTTTTTTATTTTGAGACAGGATCTTGCTCAGTTGCTAAGGACTTGCTAAATTGCTGAGGCTGGCCTTGAACTTGTGATCTTCCTGCCTCAGCTCCCCAAGTTGCTGGGATTAGATGCATGAGCTATAAATATTTGTATAACAAGTTTCTGTGTGGATATGTTTTCATTTCTCTCAATAGATACCTAAGAGTGGAGGTCATATGGTAACTCTGTGTCTAATTGTTTTAGGAAACTGCCAGATTTTTTTTAATACTGGGGATTGAATACTGGGTGCTTTACAACTGAGCCCCATTCCCCAGCCCTCTTTTATTTTTTATTTTGAGACACGGTCTTGCTAAGTTGCTTAGGGCCTTGCTAAGTTGCTGAGGTTGGTGTTGAACTTTCCATCCTCCTGCCTTGTCCTCCAGAGCCACTAGGATTACAGGCATGTGCCACTGTGCCTGGTTGCTAGATTGTTTTGTAAAGTTGCTGTACTATTTTATATTCCCAACAAAACTGGGTGTGAGTTTTGCTATCTCCATACTCTGACCAATATTTGTTACCATCAGCTTTTTAGTCTAGCCGTTCTATTGGCTGAGAAATGTCATCTTATTGTGGTTTGATGTGAACACACACCTTTTAAGATCAAGGAAATCTTGGCTAGGTGCAGTGGAGCACACCTGAAATCTGGGTAACTCAAGAGGCTGAGGCAAGAGGATTGCAAGTTGGAGGCTGACCTGGGCATCTCAAAATAAAGAACTAGACATATAGTTTAGGGGTGAAGCACTTGCTTTGCATGTATGAGGCCCTGAGTTGCATCCCCAGTACTGGTGAAAGAGAAAAAAAAATCAAGGAAATATTTTCTGAAGTCCCCTAGCAGACATTCTACCAAGTTCTACCACACAGAACTGTATCAACTACATCTTCTTAAGCCAGTAACTTGCAAGGGAAATGGGATTGCTGTTGACAACTTGCCTTGAGGGTCAGCACTGGGATTGTGGGCTGTTTCCTCCAAGGCACCCTTGAGAGGAGGACACTTGCTCTGACCTCTGGCTTTGTTAGGAAAATGGAAGTGAGGTGGATCAACCAACTGTGTGGCTCCTACATGTGGCATCCAAGGCATCAGGTGCTCTTGGCTTTCCTTCTCTTTCTCTGTCCATTTGATCTTAAGCTTCTTTTCCTCTGTCCACTCCTCAAATGTCACTTCTCACCATACACACTCTTTTTAAACCATTTCATTTATTCTCATGGTTTCAATTTCTAATAATAGCATTGCCATTTATTAGACACATTTCCCTTCTTTGTCCCCCACCCCGTCTCAAGAGATAGGGTACTGTTACCTTGCCCAGAATGGCCTCAAATTCTTGGACTAAACTAATCCTCTGGCCACGGCCTCCTGAGTAGTTGAGATTACAGGCACACACACCACTGTGCCCTGCTCATTATCTCATTATATTCTCACAATGACTGTATAACCCTATGATTACCCTATCTTCTACAATAATTAATAGGTACCCCCCCCAAGGTAACAGAACTAGTAAGTTAGTGAAACTAAGCGTTGGACCCAATTTGTTTGACTCCACTACCTGTTAGGCTTCTGCACCTGCTCCCTGCAGCAGTGAGAGAAATATAGTTTGTACAGTTGTTCAGTCCCCCATCGCAGGAATTATCTTCCCTCTCCCTTCACTATGCAACACCAACTTTGCTTTTAATCATTCATTGAATCCAGCTTTTAGTCTCCATCCATTGTCACTCATCCATCAAGTCTAAGATGTCATAACTGGGGTACATGTTGCCTGGAATTCCTCACCCCTACTGGTGACTGTGCAGGACTTCAGATGGCTGGAGTCTCAGGGTGGTTGCCTGTAGTTGAACATAACCCCCTCCTTTACTACCTGGTGTGTCTTACAGCAGGAATCAGTTTCTCTGTGTGCACATGGAGAAATACATAGAGAAGCAAGATCCAAAGCAGACTGCGCCCAAACCTCCACTCTCCCTCTCCATTCCATCCATCTTCCTGCCTGCAGCCAGAGAGAGCCAATTATGCTCTGTACAAAGTCTCTGGATGGGAGGGGGCAGACCCCACACCCTCGGGACCATGTCCAAAGTCCTGTTGATGGCTTTCAAGATCCACCACAGCCCCCTGTCCTCTCCAGTCTCCACTCCTACTTAGTTATCAGTGGAACTTCTTCTGTAGCCCCTTCTCTGTTCAGTACCATTTCTCACTCAACTTCTTTGCTAGTGTTGTTTCCTTTTCTTGTTATGCTACTGGTAACATAAAGATTAAGATCAGCTGGGGATCAAGCAACCTAGGTTTCAAGTCTCTGCTCTGTCACATGCTGGTGGTGAGAGTAATATCTTAACCCCAACTTGTATCTCCTCTGTAAAATGAGTGCCTACTTTCGGGCTGTTGTGGAATGAAAAGGGCAGGGGGTGGGGGAAATGCAGACATAACAAGTAGTTGCTCTCATTATCCATTTTGCTTCAACTGGTGGGACCCCTGAGAAGGCTCTCTAACTCGCCTTCCAAAGAACTCCATATGACGTTCTGCACTGCACCATACACTGACAGTTGTCTGGTCACTGCCTTGCCTGGCCGAGGTCCCCCAGGGCTGGGATCCACTGGGATGAGTCTCAACCCCTCGGGTCCAATCCTGGATGGGCCCACTGTGGCCCTTTTATCAAGAACAGGAAGTTCTCCCAAGGGGTTGGTGATGTGGGGGTCACTGACCATCACAAGTGCTAGAGTTCTCTAGCCCCCCATCCCCCACAGCTGCCCTCTCAGCAGCTCTCCAAGCTAAAGGCCAGGCTGTAGGGGAGGTCCTTCCAGCCATCTCTTGCCTGGTAATCAAGGGGGGCAGATTCACCTAAACCCAATTAGAACGCGAGTCTGCTCATTTACTGAACTAACAGTGAGCAAACAGATATGCCCGAGTCCAAATCCTGCTTTTCCCGAAGACTCTGGCTGTGGGTCTCCCGGAGGGCAAGGGAGATAAGACTTAAGAATAAAGGGGCACGGAGATTGGACTGTGGGGTAGGGGAGCGCGCGCGGCAGCCACGGAGACTGGGGAAGGTGTAGGGCAGGCAGCAGGGAGAGCCACGTCCGTGGCTGGAGTGCAGCCTAGAGGGAGGGAACCATGTGCCGGTCGCGGGAGGAGGCCGGCGAGAGAAGGAAAGAAGGAAGAGACTGCTCGGGGGCAGACGTGGGTAAACAGACGTTTGTCCTCCTGCTTATGAGTCAGAGGACCCGCGCTGGCTACTCGTGCCCCAGGTTTCTCAGGAGCCTAATGTGTGGTATCTGCTCTGGGACTGCCATCGCATGCAGGTCATTCCAAGGAAGATCCCTACTTTCAAATTCAAACTTCCTGACAAAGTTCCTGGGTAGCTGCTTACAGAGAGGATGGCAGTTCCTAAAATATTTCTGTCCCTACTCAGAGCTGGCTTTTGGAGCAGGCTTTAAGACTGAGGGAGAGAACCCCTGGGGGGGGGTTGCTGCACAACAACCAAATACTGCTTCTCCCACCCACACGCTCAAGGACAATATCCTTGAAGGCCAAGATCTTGTTTCAATCTCTGGGGTCTATCCCAAGGGCAGACAGTGAGTGGCTCTCCAAAATTTCTTCTCCTGTTTAGTGTGGCACTTCATTCTCACCTTGACCTCAGTGAGGCTGTAGTTAAACTCTGCAAGGTCCTCCACCCTGAAAGCATGGGAAGATCTGGGGTGGGCTGCTTCCTTCCTCTGGCTAATGGGCCTACATTTATCCTCTGATTGATGGAGAATGCAATGCAGAATTAAGCACACATCAAGGAGAGTGGAAGAGAGCAAGTATCTCCATTAACTGGGGTACATCATTTAACCCTCAAAGACCTTGAAGTACCAGTTTACAAAATGGGGACACTGCTCTGCAACAGGAAGATTTCAAGTGTTAATGATTTTAATAGTGGTTGCCAGTTTTCTGAGGCAAAAGTGAGAGTAATGACATCTGAGCAAAAACAGTGAGGAATGTCTTTAAGGAAAGCAGCAACTGTCCCTGTCACCCAGTATGCCCCAGGAGGATGCCCCCATGCAATCAATAAGAAAGGTTCGGTGTTGGCAGTAGATCTGCCTTTCTTTATTTTTCTCCATGCCCCCATATAGCTCCTGGGCCAGGAGGACATCCCTTCACTTGGGGGACAGACCTGGCCTGAAGAGTAGTCCCCAACACAGGAAGCTGATATTCTTCCCAGATAAAATTGTGGACCCAGGTTTCACATTCAGCAAATAGCAGTATCTTTTGGTTTCAACTTCATGGGAACCCAGTGAGGCATCTTTATGCCCCTATTTTACACATGGGGACTCTGTAAGGTTATGGAACCACCTAGAACACCATCTTCCCAAGCTGAATCCAGTCGCAGGAGAAGACTCAAGCCCAGGCTTCTGTCTGGGCCCAGAGCCAGTGCTCTCAGGTGGAGTGTAACCCACAGCTTCCTTTTCTGAGAAAATGGCACCGTGAGCCCCCTCTTCCCTAAATTCGGGAGGGGCAATGCTTAGAGCCTGCGGACCCTGGCTTGGGGAAAGCTGCCAGCGAGAACGTGGGCTTCCATGGCTCCTCTGCCTTCCTTCTCGGGCTCCAGCACTACTAGCAAAGATACAAGTGGACACAACTGCTGGCCTTCTTGTCTCCCCCCCGCTACCCCCATCAGCTATTTGGGAGAGGCTGGGGCCGACTCACCCGCGCGCTGCCTCTGGGCCACACCTGCCGCGCTGGTGGCGTCTGGCGGGAAGGCGAGAGCCTGCACCCCAGGCGCGGCAGCCGGGCTGCGACAGGACAGAGGGCGGGGCGGGGGGTAGGCGGCCTGGCTTCACCCCAGCCACCAGGGAATAAGGCAAATCTCGCAGTGCTCCAGACCCGGCAGAGAGGGATGGGAGGGAGCGCACGGGCGGGGCCCCTAGTGTGCCTTCCCCCACGATCCTGCCGCGAGCGATGGTCACAGTGGGGAATCATGGGGGAAGCCCTGAGTCCTTCAGGCCGCAGGCTGCACGCCGCCGGTGACCGATCGGATCCGCCGGCCTTCAGGCTCTTTCTGCTAGCAGCTCCTCCTGGGCGAGCAACGCCTGGTGAGCAGCCCTTTAGCACGAGGACAGTTACATGGTGACATTAGGGTAGACCATCCCTGAGCTGGGGGTGTAGCTCGGTGGTAAAGCCCTTCCCTAGCATTAGTGAGGCCGTGGGTTCAAGCCCCAGGATGGGGGGCGGGGAACCGCAATCACGGCTCCCCTTGGCGGGGGTGTCCTATGACAAGATGACCTGCTTTATGCGTGGAGGGTACGCGAGGAGATGGGCGCCACTGCACGTCATGGGGGAAGTGGCGTCGCAGAGCACGTTCGGTTCACCCCCGGCGCTGCGTACTCCGGGGGGCGGCTCGCTGCCGCGGATTTCATTCTGGAAAATCCCGGGTCTTTCTGCCCATTTCCGACTGGCGCAGGTTGGGGATAGGTGACCGACTCTGGGTAGCTCAGCAACAAGGGGTGTGTGGTGTCACTCTTCTCCGGGAGTCCCCTGTGAGTCTGGGGGCTGCGTGGTGATGGAACCTGAGCCCCTGCCCCGGGAGCGCTGCGCGGAGAGCCCGCCCTGCAATCCGCCATCCTCCCGCAGCGCACTGCGGCGTCCGCAGCCGCCGCTCCTCGCTCCTCTGCCACTGCCAGCACCAGACCCGCGGCTCCTGGGCGGAGCTCGGCGTACTAGGCCGCAGCGGGTCGCCTCCCGGGTTCCTCTGGGTCCCCGCCCCGGACCGGAGGGGCGTGTGGCCGGCGCGGTACGACGCTGCCCCCTGGCGAGAGAACGTTCCACCAACTTCCCGGGTGCCCCAGGGAGGAGAGTCCGCCAACCGCCTTTCCTTCCAAATCATGTTTTTGGAAGCTTAAAAGCAAAATCCTTCCACTTATGCTCTCCTTAATGCTTCACAGCGACGCTCACATTAAAAAAAAAATGCAAACAAAACCAAGGAACTACTTTATTGAGCTATTATTTATATAAAATAAATACCCTAAATTGTTAGTATTGTATACAGTCCTATAACCTTTGACTGATGAAAACACCAGACTAGTCGGTGCCCTAGTTGGAAAAGCGCATTTCTATCCCCAAAACAGCCCCCCTGCTCTTTTGCATCAGTCCTTCATCCCTCTTTACCTGGGCTCCAGTCAACCACTCTGATTTTTAGTCCTCGGTCTGCCCCTCTGACAATGCCATGTAAATAGGACCAATCAATATGTGCTCTTTTGTGTGTGATATCGGTCCCCCTTTCTTTTTACTTTAGCACAATGCTTTTGCAATTCACCCATGTGGTTGTGTGTGTGTTGTATTTTCCTCTGACTTGTTCTTGAACTCCCTCTCTGGACAGTGGTTATAAGCAGCCTTGTCTTCACAAGGCTCCAGGGAATTTGGTCTTGAGTGTCCATAGTGTGTTTTCCACTAGATACTTCCGTACATTCGGAGATGGCCTAATGCTTAAGTGTCTCACAGGTGACCCGTGTCTGGCCTGTGTCCAGTTTATTCCAAGGTAGATGGCTCTATGAGAGTCCTGGCCAGAGAAGAAGGTTCTGGGGTGTAACTGCAGTAAGGCCAGACAGAGGAGGCAATGCAACACATAGCCCATGGAATAAGAGAAGTTGTATATTACTTATAAACCATGAGAGGAGAAGGGTGCTGATGAGGAGGTTAGGTAGCTCATGGGGGCCTTGTACTCAGCCAGCAGCTGGGAAGCAGAGAGGGATGGATCTGTGGGCAGGAGCCTTTATTGAGATCCAAGGTGTTAGTTACCCCAGCAGGTGTTCTAAGAGGGCTTCTACTTAGTTTGTTCAGAGCAGCAGGCTTAGGTTCTGTGCTGGGACTTAGGAGCAGTCACTATGGCAGATCTATGCAGTCCATGGAGGGTGTGGGGTTCGTGGGATGAACCCTGTAGCTTGTATCTCTCTGTCTTGTCAGTAGGGGGTTACCAGGAAGTGGTTACAGCAGAGAGGACAAGATATCTGGATTGACTGTATTGAGGAACTGGGGGGAGGGGGAAAACAGTTGTGCACTGTCAGAGGTGGCCAAGCCACCCTGGGGCCACATTAAGTTTCTCATAGTCACTGGAGTGGATGTCAGTAGATCCCTTCTTGTCATTGGTGAGTAGTTTGCCATTGTTTGAGGACACCACAAGTTGTTTATCCATTTGAACACTTCAGATGCTGGGCTCTGAACCCTTCAAAGGTTCAGAGAAGACACCCTCTCAAAACCCCAAAAAGGACCCTTGGATTCTTTCTAGTTGAGGGATATTGTGAATAAAATGGACTTACACATTCCATAAAAGCTTTTGTGTGGACTTATGTTTTCATTTCTCTTGGGTAAGTACCTAGAAGTGGATGGGCTGGCTGGTTGTGTGGTGAGTCTGTTTTTAATTTTATAGGAAGCTGTGAAATTGTTTTTCAAAGCAAGTCCACTATTTTACATCATCACCAGCGGTGCATGAAAGTCGATGGCAGCCTGTGGTTTGGCTTTGCATCTTTATGGAATCTTTCAAAGAACCAAATTTCTAGTTGTGACAGCATTCAATTTATTAAAACTTTTCCTTGCTGGCTCATACTTTTTGTCTTAAGAAACCTCTTTACCTTAATATTTTCTCCTAGAATTGAAGCACTTTTTGCTTTTCGTTCAAGTCTCTGGTACGTTTGAATTAACTTTTATGTATGGTTTGAGGTAAGGATCAAGACTCATTTTCCCCCATATGGATATTCATTTTCCTGAACCAATTGTTGAAAAAAACTACCTTTCCCCTTTGATTTATTTTCGTACCATTACCAAAAACCCACTGTGTTTAGTCTAGAGGTGGGCAGGAAGGCCTCTGGACATCTAGGAAGGGGCACCAGTTAATCCAGGCAGAGGTCCAATGGCAGTTTTGTTTATGGGTTGAATGGTCTGGGTGTGGAGGGGTTGGGGGAAATGTGGGCTAGAAGCAAGCAACTTGGATGGAATGAGGCCCTACCCCACTCATGAGTGTGTACTTTATCCTGGGAGTGATGGGGGCTGCTGAAATGTTTTTGTCAGAATTATAATTAGATTTGCAGTTTAGATAGTTTATGCTGGTTGCAAAGGAGGGATTAGAGGAGGTCAGAATGGAGGCATCAGTGAGGAGGCTCTATTTCTTTTGGGGAGGTACTGGAACTTGAACCCAGAGGCCCTCTACCACTGAACTACATCCCAACCTGCCGCAACCGGCTGGGCACAGAATCACAAGCCACTCAAGCAGGAACAAAACTTTATTTTTAAAAAAGCCACCAATACCCCGTGCGCATCCGGCTAGCAAGCTGGTCCATCTACCGGAACCGGCCCCCCCCCCAGAAATCCCTCCTACTATCCTTCCCCAACCAATGGGAACTCTCCCCAGGAGTCCCATAATATGAGTCCCGTAGCAGGCCGAGGTGAACAGCAGGAGTCCAATTTCCATATGAATGTAAATCTTAACATAATCATATCATCTCAATGGCTAGCTGGCAGTCACCTTAACCAAAGGTGCCATGCATCATAATACTTTGCTGTGGCTCCTAGCACCAACCCTTTTTATTTTTTTTGTTTTGAGACAGAATTCTGCTAAGTCACCCAGGCTGGCCTCGAATTTGAGATCCTCCTGCCTCAACCTCCCAAGTAGCTGGGATTACAGGCATGTGTCTCCATGTCTAGCTAAGGATGCTGTCTTTCCTTTCTTTTATTTTCTTTTTTTCTTTTTTCATGGGGGGATTGAACCCAATGGCACTTAACTATGGAGCCACATCCACAGCCTTGTTTTTCTTTTTTCTTTTCTTTTCTTTTTCTTTTTCTTTTTTTTTTTTTTTTTTTTTTTTTTTTGAGACAGGGCCTCACTAAATTGCTTACTAAATTGCTGAGGCTGTCCTTGAAATAGCAATTCTGCCACAGACAGAATTCAATATAAGTCATTGAATTATAGGTATGTGCTACCATGCCCTGTTCCAAAGAAGCTGTCTTGATAGTGTAATTGAGAGAATAACAGGTAGAGAACTGTGTTTGTCCAGTTTGTTGCTAATAGCACAATACCACAGGCTAGGTAAGTTATGAAGAAAAGAAGTTTCCTTTGGTTCACAGTCTGGTTTGAGGTTGATGGGCTGCATCTGATGATAGTTTTCTGCTGGCAGATTCTCCAGGAGGCACAGAGGATCTTGTGGTGAAAATCAGGGAGTACTTGTGCCCATATTCTCTAGTCTCTGTCCCTCTTCTTGTTCTTGATTTTTCTTCTTTTTTAAAAAATATTTTTTAGTTGTAGATGGACATAATATCTTTATTTATTCATTTATTTTTATATGGTGCTGAGGATCAAACCCATTGCCTCACATATGTGATGCGAGTGCTCTACCACTCAGCTACAGCCCCAGCCCTGTTCTTGGTTTTTCTTTGTACTCCTTTTCCTGAGATTGGGTCCTATTATGTTTCCCTCTAACTCCTGATCTCAAATAATCATCGTGCTTCAGCCTCCCAAGTAGCAGCGACTATAGATGGATGCACACCACTGCTTCTGCTTCTGCCCACTTCTTATAAAGCCACCAATATTTAATCATAGAGGTTCCACACTGCTCACTGTATCTAACCCTAACTACTTCCCAAGACCCCACCTCTAAGCACCACAGTCAGATTAAACTTACACCCCTTAATGCCTTATCATGGGGATTAAACTTGAACATGAGTTTTCAAAGGGGATAAGCCATATTCAAACCATAGCAGGAAATTTTCTCTGGTTATCTTTTTAAAGCTTTGATTGTTATACCTTGTTTACATATTTAAAACAAATTCTGGGAAATTCAGTAGGTAGAAGCCACAGGACTTGGTGACTGGGAGTTAGAGGGAAGGAGGGATGTTCTGTCTGAGGGCTTTTCAGCCACCTCTCATGCTGGCTGTGCTGGCTGTCACAGCAGAGGCTCCCTTACATCCCTGGAGCCTCATTTTTTTCATC